ATATATATATATATATATATATATATATATATATATATATATATATATATATATATATATATATTTATTTATTTATTTATTTATTTATTTATTTATTTATTTATTTATCCATTTATTTATTTGCGTATTCAATCATTTTTTACTCAGCTACTAAATTATTTATCTTAATTATGAACTGGATTATTATAATTCTTGCATATTTAAGTGAATTGTTGAGTTTTGATTTTAGAGTAATGCTATGTAAATATATGGCTTATGAATTTTCACACTCAGATGTTAATTTTTGGCTAATTACCTTACTCATTTAATAGTTTCTTCTAAGTGTCACCCTATCCATTTAATACCTCTAAGTACGTATCGAATAATAGCTTTTTAAATATTGTTTATAAAGCCATAATTGATATAATCATCTTTGACTAATCTTCTTTGAATGAATTTTTTGACTAAAAAATTCGATGAATTAATTTTTGTTTGACTATAATTTTTTTGTCTAAAATCTAATGAAAATTTTGTTTTTTTTTCATAGAGTTGAACTTTTCAAAAACTTTTTTTCCATAAATATGAAATCAAGAAGTTAAAAAATAAAAATTTATTTTTATAGATAAATCAATTGTGGGTTATAATTGTACGGTTGAACAAAATGCACTTATCGACCATTGTGCTGTACCAATTAATCAATTAACTTCTAGAATTGATGAATTATTTGAAGTAAGAAAATCTTTTGAATTTATTTACGATCAATAAATATATATTATTTATACATGAGGACGGTAAAATGATTTATCAATAAATAGGGAAGTAATTAATTTTAATAGATATAATTATGCTAAGCAATGGAATTAATTGATCTTTTAATTACAATAATGGAATTTTAATTAAAAGCTAATTAATTATACTATCACATTTACAGGGTGGATTGCAGCAATTTTTAGCTAATGTCAAGAATTTGGCACCTATATTCGCGAAAGGTTGTAATTTGACCAACGAATTCAAGAATTGTTTGAGGCCATTGATAGAGAACCAATCAGGACAACAATGTACTGTTTCAAATTGCTTAATTCAGGCTGGTGATGGAATATGTAATCAACCTGATACGGCTAAAGCTATTGATGATAATTTAGCATGTGTTTTTAAACAGGTAACAATGTTTTTTAATGTTACAAAAAAGAAAGTTATATTTAAGTTTTTATATCCTTCTATTTTTCTACTTTTGATTTTAAATTAAATTTTTTTTTTTGTTAAGCAGTAATGCTATATATATATTGCTAATAAAAGCAATAATGTTGAATCAAATGATTAAATTTTTCTTTTTTTTACTGACTTAAATATAACTTTTCTTACATATTTTTTTCTTTTTTGAGATTTGTTACAATTATTATGAAAGATAAAAAAAACAATCAGATAATATTGTTTTAAATTGTTTCAAAAAAATAAAAAATAAAAAATAATTTGGATTAAAAATTAATGTTTTAATTTCAAAATATTAAGCAGTAATGCTATATAAATACTGCTAATAAAAGCAATAATGTTAGTAATTGAAAAATTGAACAAATCATTTTGTAGTTGAAAAACTGGACAAATTATTATATAATTGAAAAATGGTGGCATAAAATTATAATTTGCAATTTTTTTTTTTGAAAATTAATGATTTCATTATAATCATAATTTCGTTAATTATCGCCCTTAGATGGAGGAATTCATTACAAAATTTGTTTTTAATTGTTACATAAGAAAGGTTAAGAAATTATTAATTTCTTGTTAATTTTTTATTAAATTATTAATTTAATATTGAATTTTTTTTTCCAAATTCATTTTATAGGCATCAATACCTGAATTTGGCAGATGTTTACGATCAACGATAGCAACATTAAAACAATTCAATCTTACAGCATTACGTCGTATTTTACCAAAATTTATCAAATGTGTTGAACATATTGTTATACAACGTTGTGGTCCAATACCAATAAATGTATTACGTGCTATTAGTGCAACTGATATATGTCCAATTAAATTTAATTATCAATTAAAATTAACTAATTCTGATACAACAACACAAATATGTGATGCAGAAATGCAACAAAAACATTCGGAATGTACCGGGAATTTTTACCGAAATTATCGAATGTTACCAATTGCATTACTAAGAGATCCATCAAATATCGATATGGTAAAATATTTTCACCTTTTTCTTTTTTTTTTTGTTTTTTTAATTTGATATTTCAATTAATTTTCTATCGATTTTTTTTTACAGCGCTTGAAAATTGTGAGAAATTTTAAAATAATTTCTTATTTTTTAATTAAAATTTTATTTTATTTTATTTTTGAATTAACACCTGCTTATATATATGTACATATTTATGCAAATTAACTTATTATCCATTTACTTACAATTTACTTAACTTTATTTACAATGTTTAATTTAAAAAATTCATAAAATTATAAGTAAATGATAATTTTGCTGTGGTAAAAAAAAATTTTTTTTCTGCAAATAATGCTATTAAATAAACTATCTGCCCTCATTTATGCATAACGTATATTAATTAGTAAGTTTTAATTAGTGGAAAAACAAAAAAAAAATTAGTTGATGAAATAATTACTTAAATTGTTTAAAAAAATAAAAAAAAAATATTGGATATATTATCAGATTTATATTTAAAAGAAAAATTATTAAAGAAATTAATTTTTTTTCTTAATTATTTTACAGTTATGTATTGATGCATCAAAATTAACCGCTTGTTCATATCCCATTTGTGAAACAATCAAAGAGAAGGCGCTAAATGCATTGGCGGAATTTGTCTGCATGCGGCGTGATTTGTACAAAAAGCATTCCATGTGTCTTACATCTGCTATTACTTCATCACAGGTATATTGTTGTTGTTATCATTAAACAGAATTTTAAACTAATTATTAAAATTAATTTTTTTTCTCTACTTTAAAATTACTTTAGTCGAAAAAAAGTTCGAAAATTTTGACTGAAAAAAAATTGAAGGAATGAAATAATGAAGCATAATTAATTTTGTTCAAAAAAAAAGAAATTTTTTTTTTGTTTAATTTTTCAGTTTTTTTTTTGTTTTTACAAATTATATTAATTTTGTTTTTGAAATAATAAAATTACATCAAATGAAAAAAGAGATTTTTTTTTATTAATTAAAAAATTATCATAGGGATCAAAATGCTTAGCATCATTCCTATCGACAGCATCAGAGCAGCAATGTTCATTTTTAACAAATGTTGCAAATTGTGTCACCCCATATATTCATAATACTTGTGGATACGATGCATTAGCATTATCATTTGATGGAATGCATATATTTGCTAATCAGGTAAGAAATGATTTAATTCATTTTAATTATTAATTTTTAAATAAAATGATTAAAATGTTTAGGAAAATTCGGAAAATTGAAATATTTTCATTTTTGTAATTGAAAAGAAACGAGAAAAACAAAGCGTATAAATGTGAAATTTTTTATTTGTTTTTTTTTTTTTTTTAATAATTTTTCTTCCTTTGCTTCCTTTCAATCATTAATTTTAATAGAAATTCATAATTCAAATTTTTTTTGCAGTTAAATAAATCATGCAATATACAAATTCCTATAGCATCAATAAAAACAAGTTGTGCTGAATCGGATATTGTTGATTATTTACAGTGCGAAAATTTGATTGATCACTTCACCTTTACACCACTTTCATTTATCAAGTAATGAATTATTTAATTATTATTTCATATAGATAATTGCTTTCTCCTTCACTTATCACATTTTATTCTAAACATGAGTATAGTTAGTTAGTGTAAAGAATAATTTAAAATCACAATTAGGTTGGAAGAGTTTCTTTTTTTTTTTATAATAATCAAAGAAGTGATACCGGTTTTCATATCTATATTCCCATCGTCCCAAATTATTTATTTTTCATTCTTTCAATTTTCAACTTTAATAAGATAAGGGGATTATAGTATTTTATAATATTTCAACAAACTTACAAAGGGACATTTAAATTGTCCTCTCTAGTTTTCACCTGTTCTATTAATTAGCAATTATCATGTCAGATATAGACAATATGCAAATACATGTATTTGCAAGAGAATATTTAAATTTTGTTAGTTTTTTTCTAATTTCTACTCATTAATATCGATTAATTAGCAAGGAAAATAATTTGCAATTGATTTCAAAATAAAAAAAACTTTTATATGAACTTTGATCTCTAGACATATAGAAAAAACAATTTTTTATAACTTAAAGAAAGAAAAGAGAAATGGAATTCCATAATTATTGTTTAAAATAATAAATATTTTTGTTACACTTTAATTGTTATAAGTAATTTCGTATTTTTTTTATAATTTTAATAATTATAATTATAGGAATAGCTTACAATGGAATGAATTTTGTGAAGCAATAAAAGAATATGAAAATTGTTTAACAAATATGTCATGTCGTGTGGAACCTATCTCATCAGCAAATGTCGCACTTTTTCGAACAATTTGTGGAAAAGAAGAAACAAAAACAAAATATTATTTACCTTGTCTTACTCAATTTATTAATACTGATATTGGAATGAAATGCAGTGAACCATTTGTTGGCTTAGATTTATTAGTTAAAGATAATTCACAAAAAATTTGTTCAACGTTAGTTTAACAATATTTTATTTTATTTATCCATTAATTTAATCAATTGATTGCAACTGTATTTATTGAAGAATTTTTTTTTTTAATCTGGCATAATTTAATTTAAATTTATTAAAATTAAATTTTTTTTTTTAGAATATATTTTCCATTATACTTTTTATGCTAGTAGTTGTGCAAATATATATGTATATATGGAATTTAGGTAACAACAATTTAAAATTCAAATTTTAATTTGAAATGAAATTTTATTTTTAGCCTAGAAACTATGCTTTCATGTGCAGCAACCGAATTATCAAGACAGTGCACCGAACAAGCTTTAAAACATGTTGTAAGCATGCTTCACATATGGGTACGCAAGTTTAATCCTAGTTGTTCAATTTCTGGATACGGTACAGCTAATGATCCAAAATTGGAGGAAGATTTCTCACTTGATTCCGGTCCAACACATATTTCAATTGATCAAACTGTATCACCATTTAGTTCCTCTACTATTCAACGGATTATTACAACTTCATCATTGCCAAACTTAGAAGCTACCGATAATTTATCATCATCTAATAATTTACGTAAAGGAACTACTAGTAATATCGTTTTACCGGAATTGGAACTTTCAACTATACCACAACCGGAGTTAACTTTATCATCTGATACCGAATTGGCATCTCATTGGATGAAAGACATGTCATCGACAAATATACCAGTTCCAGAACCAAATCCAGAACCAACAAATGCAGAAAATGAATTAACCAATTTTGCTTCTTCTGTACAACCATCTTCCGAATCATCATCAAAAATGGAATCGAATGTTACAGTTAATTTTAAAATACCAAAAATGAAAGGTACTATTACTTCTGATATTTCGAATTTTTTCTTTTTAAATTTGAAAACAGATTTTTTTTAAAATTCTAAAACTTTCATAACTTTGACAACTACATTTTTTTAATAACATTAAATTTTTGTAATGATTGGGAAAATTGGGAAAAAAATTGACTAGATAAAAATCATAATTTTTTTCCAAATTGTCACAATCATTTCTGTTTAATAATTGGGCGAAAATGATTTTTGTTCTGGATATTTACAAGAAAAAAATTTGTTTTTTTTTTAAAAAATTATTCCCATTATTTTCTTATTCATTTTTTTTTTTTTATAACTCAATTACTTTTTCGCAAATATATTATTATATTTAATATACTAACATACTTCAATATATTACTACTTCGATGTATTATTATACTTCAATATATTATTTTTTAATAGTTTAAGTATCCTCCTTTCTAATTATCCGTTTTATTACTGATATTTTAGGTTAGAATTATTTCCGGCTTAACATATGTGACAATTATATATTTCTAATTATAAATTTCTTTTCCCTTCATAAAAGACAAAAAATAATCATTTTAAATAAAAGAGAAAATTTTTTTAAAAAAAGAGTATATTTTTTTAATTAATGAAAATACACTTTCCATCATCCATATAATTAACATATATAATTTTATTTTTAAAGTTTTTGAAATCAAAATAAAAAATACTCCTTCTTTTTTCTTCAAATTTTATTTTCAGAATCAGGACAGATGCGCGGCATTTCATCAAACTTATGGAATTTACAAATTTTAATAATTATACCAACAGTAATGATGTTCTCTGTATAGTAATAGTGGTGCTATTATAAAAAATAATGTCTCATTTTAAGTGTCATGTAAATTTCATCTTACTGATATGATAAAGCGGTGTTTATTTTTCTGTTTCAATTTTTTTTTTCATGAAAACATTTCTTCCATTTGTATCATTATGTGCCTTATTATTATTACTATTTGACGTGAAAAATTTTATTGTTATTTCCACTTTAATCAATCATGAAAATAAAATTCTTGCATAGAAAAACTTTTCTTATGAATCAATTTCATTCATAAAGAAATTATTTTTCACTAGAATTCTGTTGTCGTTTATTGATTTATTTCAAATTTATCAAATTTAAAAAAGAAACTATTATGATTGATTTATTTTAGGACTTATACTGATGAAGTTAACAAGCATTAATTATAAGGATTTGAAGTTTTTGGGAAAAATTAAAGTTATCAGCGTAATACTTTTCCAATAGTTTCAATAAATTGTTAGAATTTAAGATAAGTCCCTTGATTAGTTTTTTACTGAACAAGTCATAAATTGATTATCAATTACTGAGGTAATTTAATTTTAATTTCAATGCCGACATTTTCATGAAAGTTTTAATACTAGTTAGTTTTGTTTTTCTCCATAAACAAATATGAAAGTTTTTCTATCGACAATTAACAAACAAATAATTATCGTCGATTCATTTCATGGAATAATATCTGCATCGATAAGTCTGGCTAATTAAAAAAATTTGATAAGGTGATAACATAAAAAGAAGATTTAGGCAAATAAGGTAATAAATGTAAAGAATTCAAGTAAGTGAAATTAGTTTAACAATTTAATTTATATCTAAATTATTCAAAAATAACCAAAAAATGTATGGAAGAAACAAAGGTTGCGTTAAAGCTAAATATTTTTTGACATTTAATTATTATTAAGTAATTACCATTTAATTATTATTAAGTAATTACCATTTAATTATTATTAAGTAATTACCATTACCGATAAGCAAATAGGACATGCAAAAATTTTAACTTCATAACATGTTGAAATATCAATTTTTTCATTTCAGAAAGATTTTCATTGATTGGAAGCAAAAACTTTTGGAATAAAGAAATTAATTGATTCGTATTTTATTGAACATATAAATGAACAATGTCAAAGTTCATCCTTCATCATTGCTTGTCGAACCTTTGCCATGACCGGACAACCACCATAATCAACGGTATCATCCAATTTATCATCTTTGTCCTCAAATAATTTTTCCTCACTTTTTTTCAGAATTTAAAACGTCATATTTTACAAAAAAAGAAATATTAAGTGAGCTTTAGGAAAAATTACCCAATATGATCGTTGAATAATTCGTACTTCAGAAGGGATTTCAATCAACTGTTCCCCAAAGATTTGATCTATTTGCGCCATTTGTACATAACGAAGTGGATGAACATCTTCGGTAGCTAATATACCTAAGGATTTATCACTGTTTTTTTTAAAAAATCACTCCGTCAAACTTTTACAATTTAGGAAAATTTAAAAAATTTGTTGATTTAAAACATTTGCGGAAACATTTTTTCCGTCCTGTGAATAAATGAACCAGTAGTAAACCTTTTGTTAAAAAGTGTTTTACAAGATAGCAATAAAATTCCTCAATCGAAATTGAAATTTCATTAGAGGCTTCTTAATAAAATATGTTTGACACAATGATTTGTATGCAAATTACTAGTAAGTCATATAATTTCGAAATACTATTATTTCAACTTTTCTTGCATTGATTTATAAAATATTCAAATATTTAAATTCAACCTACTTATCGGTTTATTAATAGTAGTAAGAGCAATAAGTTGAAGTAAATTTCCACTTTCTAGGCCACTTTCAACATCTAATGCATAAATTTTCTCCTAAAATACGGTTCTTGATCATTATATTTTATCCAATTCAGTATTAGTTGAATTAACAAATACATTTCTCATTATGTTGTAGTTCATTCGAATTTATTTTTAAAACTTGTATCGCTACTTATTAGTTTGTCCGAATTCAAGAAAACAGAAAGAAAAATTTACTCAGTTTCGGAGTTATTTGAAAATCAAATAAAGAAGTTGTTATAAAAACACACCCTTAAAAAAACTATTAATCTGTTGGTATGATCATTGGCCTGAAGAGAATTGATCATTTCATTAACTGTTTTCGATTTCGAACTGAAATAATTAAATTTATGCGACAGTTGAAGGAAAAGACATCATCGAATAGAATTTTGATTAATATTAACATTTTGACCTTCAAATTTACAAATTGCACCAGAAGGTACACATGGATATATATATATATATATATATATATATATATATATATATATATATATATATATATA